GAAATGCAAGTAGAAAAAAACACGTTACGTGTTTTCAAAGTTATTTAGTTAGAAACTGTAAAATGCAATTTCCTTTGAGGATGTGATGCTTTGGAGCGAGATTATGTTAAGTGAAATGGGAAGGAAAGTAAAAAAAAACTAGAGTTAGGATGATAGGAGAAAAGTTGAAGTAAGGAAAATTTGAGTAATTACTAGAATAACAGAAAAGACACGTACTAAATAATACAGTTCAAATAAACATGGGGTTGCCATTTCCTAGCGACCTGAAGTAAAAAAAAACTCTTAAATAAACATATCTAACATGACCAACATAAATGTCTTGGTCAATAACGAAATTCGGTTTCCATTCAATTTGTTACATCCGTTAATCTGTTTGTATCCCAATCTTTATCCAACTCAACAAATGTGACCGTAATCACCCAGCCTTTGCATGTTAAATATTTACCCAACTTTGTTTACAAAATCTGTAAAATTTGCTATTTTTATATCCACGTTTTCACACTATTGTCGAACGCACCAGATTTTCGCTTCATAAATTCAATTTTTATCTCGTCTGTAAAAACAAACTATGTAAATTAGTGGTTTATAACGTAAAAAGTTCTATCCGGCATCGAAAAAAATCTATTTACACGTTTTAGGTTTATGGTCAGCAAAGTAAATAAAAATATTTGTTTCGGTTTACCACATTGAAAAAGCAATGTGGCATATTGCAGGCCAATACAGTGAAGTGCGACTATGACGAATGAAACGATAGTGGGGTGCCAAGTCAAATATTTACATAGAAATATCAATGCATATTGGAAAAAGATGGTAGAGAAAGGGTATTGATTATGGTAAATGTTATAATTTGCTAGGTTTTTATTTTTTTAAAGCAGACAGATTTTTTTCCTTACCCTGATTTGGACGATAATTTCCGTATTTAGTAAAATAATGATAAATGGTTAATTATACTCTACAACACTTTGTGTTGGGGGTATTATAAGTTTGATTGGGCCAAAATTTATGTAACACCACGAAATATTGATTTCCCACATAGGAAAGTATATATGGATCTTCATATCTCGCCGATCTGAGTCGATCTAGCTATGTATGTCCGTCCGTCCGTCTGTCCATGTTAATTTGTAATCACTCTACAGGTCGCAATTATGGCCCGATCTTCACGAAATTTAGAATGGAGGTGGGGCTAAGGTCAGAATAGAACCCTATTTCTTTTTGAGGTGATCACATAATATTTAGAGGTCGAAATAGACCAAAAACTGAAAAAAATCCTGATTTTGCAGTTACTCTACAGGTCGTAATAATAGACCAATCAAAGCGAAAGTTAGCATGGGGCTAGAGCTTAGAGCTGGACAGAAGCCTTTCAATTTTGATGGTCATCGGGTAATATTTAGTGGGTTAAACAGGCCACAACATTTGCGTTAAATAAAAGTCAAATTTTCCATTAAACCGCGAATATTTTTAATCCCAGGTCAATTCTGACCGTTACGTAGATTCAGATAGTAAATATATCGGTTATATATAGCGAAATATATATAATGTATATATACAAAGGAAGGGAATGTTAGTTAGAATGCATATATCTCAAGAATGGCTGGACCGATTTTGACAAATTTTGTCAATGCAGAATGCCCTCTTGGCATACAAGTATAAAATCTAAAAAAATCGCAGAAAAATATGCCAATAAAGATGTTGATATAGATTTTGTAGTATTTTGTGATATATTTTTATTGTTTCATATTTTTTATCGCATGCGATTTTTTCAATTTGACTTATAATATTTTGTAATATTTTTTCACCTTACAACACAGGTTGGGGATATTAAATGCATATTGCAATTATCGTCCGATCCTCACGAAAAGGGTAGTGTTAGGCTCAGAAGGGCTAGACCTACTGTTTTCAAAGATGTCCGCAATATATTTAGGGGTTGAAATGGACCAACAACTAAACATTTTCCTGATTTTGCATCCTTTATAAAGGCCATAAATAGAAACCAAAGGACACGAAATCTTGCACGAAGTTAGATTTTAGGACAGTGGGTAGAATGGACTACTATTTCTGTTTGAAAAATACCAACATTACTTACAGACGATATCCGAAATACACATGAGGTGAACTTCTGGCTTTTTTATGCCGATTTCGTTAACGAATATAGCCAAATATCGTATAGATGAGTCTAAATTTGGAGACACAGATTGGCCTCCTGCTTTTGGAGATGATCGCAAAATATTAGGGGGTCACATGAACCAAAAACAGAAAAAAATTCCTTATCACACAATTGAAGCCATTCGACACGCCTGAAAAGAGCGTTAAGGACAGGGAAGAATTCTAGCATTTTGGATGAACATTGAATTATATTTAGCTGTAAAATGGACCACAACAACTAACAGCCCGACGGAGTGCGTAAATATAGGGCAAATATGCCTGGTCATAATACTGAGGGTAATATCTGGGCTGTGCACCGCGAAATCTTCCAAAATGGATTTGGACATAAGGGGGCTTCTAACATATTGTAGTGTTGTAGGGTATCACATGGTCAGCCCCGCACGTCTATAGCCTTTGCTTACTTGTTTTTGATTTTGCAAATGGCAAAGCTATCACATTACATAACACATAACATAAACAAATCTAATAGGCAGTAAGAAAAATTCTCTTCTCTCTCCAGAAGATGCAAAATTGTTTTGAAAGCCTGAGTTCGGTTATCTGTAAAGGTTTTGTTCGTAGCGGATATAGATTGTAGAAGCTACACACAGTGATTTAATATCATTTTTTTGGGCCAACATGAGAATGTTTTGAACAACTGCAGTTGTTGGACTCACAATAGAACGTCAGTTAAACTTAAAAGTAAATCTATGGTATTCTAACATAAGAAAAACGTCCAGGGTGAGATTAAAAACTGCCACAACCTCGGACGCCATAATTTTTACATTTTATTGAATGAAAGCAAAAATGTCGGAAATAGCATCAAATTTTAGAATCAGTTTAGATTTGTTCGAATTGGTCACCTTTGGCACGAATTGTGGCCTTCAACCGGCCAATGAAACCGTCATATGCTGCCCGAATGTTGCTCTGCGGTATTTTGGTCCATTCCCGGCGAAGCGCTTGCTTTATGTGATCAACTCCTTCGTATTTTTTAGTGCCAGCCTTGCTTTCCAAAATTCTTCAGACACAATAGTCCGGAAATTTTTGTGGCCATTGTGAGCGGGAAATGAAGCGAGAAACCTCATTTTGTAACCATTCTTGGCTGGTGCGTTCTGAGTGCGATGGAGCTGAGTCCTGTTGGAATGTCCAAGCTTTGCGGCCAAAATGTTTGCGTGCCCAAGGCTTTAATACACCCTCCAGAATATTTTCGCGATAATATTCGGCATTTATTCTGACGCGCCACGGTCGATAAATACGAGTGGAGAGCTACCATCGGCTGTTTGGCGGCCCACACCATCACCATGGCCGGCGCATGATTTCTGGTGGCCAAGCGAAGCTGCACGTTTTTAGCTGACCTCTTTGGCAAGTAAACACGATTATTATGTTTGTTTACAAACTGTTGGACAACGAATGTTTTCTCATCGGAGAAAACCCAATTCGGCAGTTCACCACTTTCGGCGAAGCGAAGCAACTCTTAAGCTCTTTTGAGTCTATTTTTTCTGTTGCAGTGTAAGTTCTTGCACTTTTTGGAAATTCAATGGCTTTACCCCGAGTTCATTTTTCTATATTTGCGGAATGGAATATTGCAATATGTTCAGCTCACGAGCCATTTTTCAGACACTGCGACGCGGCTTTCGATCAAGTCGCTTCTTTACTTTTCGAACCATTTCTGCTGATGTTGCTGTTTTCTTCCGTCCACTTCCATCGGGCTACGCTACTAGTATCACGGCAACGAGCGATGGTACGAGACCCACAAAAGATTTATTCACATTTAAATGCTGGAGTGCTCTAACGATAGCTTGGGATTTTGCTGCCAAATATAGAGAAATCACACTGTCACGCTTGAACACCATCACGAATAACTTTTTTTCGAATAACTTTTTAATGCTTTTGTACGCTTGTAAACAATATAATGAGCTGTCAGTGGAAAAAAAAATTTAACAGCTGTCGGACAAGTGGCTTAGAAATGACAGCAGTCTGAAGTTGGTTGCAGTTTTTTCATCTCACCCTGTATATGTAGAAAATATTCTGGTATAGGTTGTAGTACTCCTTAAGAGTTTTAAACTTTAAAAATGAATTTTGGAACAATATCTGTCAAAAATTTTGCTAAAATCATCAAAATACCTATTATGTGGGGTACCGTCATATATATACGATATCGTGGAAAAATGTGTCTAAAATTATGAAATTACCGAATATCGGGAAATACCGCTATATGAGGAATATACGATATCGTGGACCTATTTAGACAATTCTCTTCCAGCGGGCAAAGTACTCAGAAGGAACTCCTTGTGTGGATTTGGAGACAATTCCACTGAAAAATGTGACTAAAATCACCAAATTTCGGTGTTTTTTAATAGTTGTCAAAACTTCTTCGACGAAATATTTGTCAATGATTTCCGGGCCGAAAATCCTGCATTATATTGAAATTGTTATTCACGGTTCCATGTTCAAGAAAATCCTGTCCTCAAAATCGTGTTTTCATTATAAAATATATATTTTCAATGATGTCTTGAGAATTTTCGAAGTAAAAGCATTGCAAGCAACACAAATCATACATTTGGTGGCATATGGGTAATAGACTGAGAGTTAAATTCTGTCGGCAAACCAACTCAATCGTTCGTACTTGTTTTCTTTAGTTACATATCACCTCTAAATTCCCTTAAAGACTTATAGTACGTTCGGACCAAATCCACTTACACTGCATTCATTTCATATTTTTTGTAAGCTAAGGCGATTTGGTTTCCCCGCCTGCCAAAGAAACGATAAAACGATTTGAAATATATCCTCTCAAACGACTAAATTCGTTTAGCAAATAATTTATAATTGTGTTTATTTTGTGTGTTTTTCTTCTCCTCCAGGTTGGCTTCAATGCCGGTAATGGCACGCGATCCTACGAATACAAACCTTACAGTCAAAATATGGTGATACGTGATTTGACGGGACGTGGTTGGGGTAATGGTTTCCCTGGCCGTCACATTTTCCGTTTGGATGAGGAGATTTTAATTGGGTCTTGTAACAAGGACATTGGTAAGCTGGTGTTTTTTGTCTTCGTTTTTTTTTTTTTGCGCCACAGACATTCATTAAGACGACGACAATGACGAAGAATACGGGAGAAAAATGAGGGTAATCAAGTAAAATAGGACGACGCCTTATAATCCCTCACTCACTCTCTTTGTCTCGTTCTTTTTTGTTTGAGTATTTGACTTACGGTTTTTCGTTTGTTTTGTTGTTTTTGGCAAAGATTAACCTTTATTTTCTTTTGTTGTTGTTGCTGCTGCTGTTGCTGTTGCTGTTGTACACTACGACTACTATAGATGCTGCCATTTTACCTTTGACCTTTGCCCCCGAATCCGGCAACATGTTGGGTGGCACCGTTGTCAACATTACCGGCCCCTGCTTTGATCCCAACGTCCGTGTTATGTGTCACTTTGATACGGAAGACGTACTTGGCCAATATGTGGACAAGAATCGTGTCATCTGCGTACAGCCATACCTGAAGGCCGAGGGCTATATTCGCTTTGAAATTTCTGTTGGTAATGAGCGCTTCAAATGGCGTGGTAAATACTTTGTAGGTAAGTGTCGGGATTGCTTGGAAACGCTGTGAAGCCAAGCGAAGAGCAGGTGAACGGTGTGCCATAAAGACGGCACAAAATCACCCAATCTTGGCTAAATGACATGAAAATCAACAAAGAAGTGATGTTTGTTTTCCTAGCTAATTTGTTATGTGGAGCTTATTTGCAATTTCTCTTCTTCTACTTTTTCTCTTCCCTTTCACCCACCAAACAGAAACACCTGCGGCTGCCACGGAGAAAATTTTCTTTGAAACTGATGATGTTCACAAAAAAGCCCCCAAGGAGATACGCATCAACTGGAACGCTTACAATTTAACCTCAAATGCAAATGCCAATATTATGATATCGTTGTGGGGTTATCGTGAAACCACAATTCAGTAAGTAAATCAATTGCCACTTCCACTTCCAACGACAACAACAACAACAACACTGACTCATAAACATTTGGTCACATTTGTTTTCCTCTGTTTCCCCACACAGTCCCCAATTGGAATATATTGATGTGATTGAGGCAGCTTCCAGTAATACCGGACACTATATTATATCGCCACAAAACTACATTAACCGCAACAACATTAACAACGATCTGCAATTCGGTTTCATCCAAATCAATTTAACCGATCCCCAGCAATATAATAATTTGAAAATCAGTCCGTAAGTATTGAACGATTCAACTAGACCAACAAGGCCTCTGGGCAAAAACCAAAATGCCGATAAACATACATTCATATTTAAACATTTCATTTCATTTCAATTGCAATTTAATTTTCCTAATGGAATTTGAATTTGTATCTGTGTGTGTGTGCGTGATTTTGTTATGAGGTTTGTGCTTTGTGCCGCCTCCATGACAATTGACCACAGGCAGATGGGTTCTCAATGAAGAGTATTTGTTTGGATTTCAATGGGAAAATTTTTATTGCAATAAATATCGAAATGAAAGTAATAATTGAAACATTTGAAAATAATGTAAAGTAAAATTATTTCATGGAATCTTTATGGTAGGTCAGGGTATTATGTCTTTGTGCATTTGTTTGTAACAGACAAAAGGAAACGAGATAGACCCATAGTTCCTTTTGATGATCTGCATAGAATCACTTTCTGAGTTGATTTATGCATGTCAGTCCGTCTGTCCATGTATTCTTGTGAACAAAATGCAGGTCGCATTTATTATCCGATTGAGATGAAATTTTGCAAACAACATTTGTTTGGCCCAAGGACGAACCCTATTGAAATTGGAGATAATCGGTAAAAATTTAGATATAGCTCCCATATATATCTTCGTCCGATTTGCTTTTTATTGTGCACCAAACGTGTAATATCAGCCCGAATAGTATGGAATTTTGCACATACAACCAAATTAGGCCTGAAAATAAGTATGCCAAATTTTATCGAAATCAGTTCAGATATAGCTATAGCTCCCATACATATTGTTCATCCGATTTGTTATTTTTGTCCTCCGCAGCCGTAATATGCACTCTGTATCAACAATATTTGGGGAAATATATCAAATGCAGCTCAGAAATGCCTTTGCTAATTTTTATCGAGATCGGTTCAGATTTGGATATAGCTCCCATATATAACTACGTCCGATTTACCATTTATTGTGCACCAAACGTCTAATATAATGGGATGGAATTGGCATATACGACCGAATTTAGTCTAGAAGGTAGTATGCCAAATTTGGTGAAGATCAGTTCAGATATAGTTATAGCTCCCATATATATTGTTCATCCGATTTGTTGTATTTGTTACCCACAGCCGTAATATGCACTCCGTAACAACGATATTCAGGGAAATATATCAAATACAGCTCAGAAATATCTTTGCCAAATTTTATCGAGATCGGTTCGGATTTGGATATAGTTCCCATATATATTTTTATCCGATTTCAAATTAATTTCGCACAAAATGGGCAATACAAGTCCGAATTTAAAAGATATTTAAAAGGTATTTTAAATTATAATTATAATCATAGGGTGTATGATTGAATTCTCCCATTACAACTTTTAATTATTAAGTGGAGCTCAACTAAATTAGCAAAGTGGTGTAGGGTATCATAAAATCGGCCCGCCCGACTTTAGGACTTTCTTTACTGGTTTTTAATTGGAAATTACTATACTTTTATCATATTGTTTTTAAACATCTCAATAAATTTAGTTATTATAGGAAAGATAGCATTTTAAATCAAAGTCTCACAAGCCATATTCCTACACTTTTGTTGGCGAGGGAATCTATACGAATATTTCTTAGGAATAACGAATTGCGTTATTGTCTTCAATAATATGCCATAACACTAAAATTTATTACCAAAAAACTGCTACGAAAATTACTATTTGTATAAAGTTGAGGTATAGAGAATTGTAAAGGTTTCAAAAGTAAACTTATAAAAACGTCTTTAGAAAATAAACAGGCCAAAATGGCCCAAAAAAAAAATTAAAAATAACCCAGTAAATCTTAAAAAAAAAAAAAAAAATTAAAAATTTCGGTCAGCTATCCTTGAATGTTTTTGAAATTGTTAAAAATATATGCCTAGGACGTCCCTAATTTTATTTTTTTAATAAACTATTTTCAGTAAGAATGACTTTAAAAATGTTCTTATAAATTAAAGATTTTTTGTCAGAATGACTTTGAAAAAATTTTTATCAGATACAAGGAATCCAATGATGCTGTTCTTTTTTTTAAATAAATACTTTAGGTATGAATGCCATAGACAATTTTCAATAAAATATACGCCAAGAAATCTTGAAGATCTCGATATTATCCGAAATATTTTTTAGTGGAAATTTTGTATATTTTTGATCAGAATATCCTTGATGTTTTCCTTTAAAGAATATATTTTCATAGTTAAATATCTTCGGTCAGGATATCATTCAAATCCCTGATTTTTTTTCATAAATTTTACAGATAGACGGCCAGATTGTCCTTGATGTTTATGTGTTTAAGTTATGTGTTTAAATTGTCGGTCAAGATTTTCTTTAAAACATTTTCTCAAAAAGTACACGAAGTTTATCCAGAAAGACCTTGCAAAAAAATGAATTATTTATATACAGGGCAAGAAAACTGCTACAAAGTCAAACCCCATAATTTTTATTGAATGAAATCCAAAATGTCGGATTATAGGAAAGATAGCATTTTAAATTAAAATCTCACAAGCCGTATTCCTACACTTTTGTTGGCGGAGGAATTGATAAGAATATTTTTTAGATTTGTTCGAATTGGTCACCTTTGGCACGAATTATGCCCTTCAAACGGCCAATGAAACCGTCACACGTTGCCCTGCGGTATTTTGGCCCATTCCTGGCGAAGCACTTGCTTGAGGTGATCGACACTTTGGCATTTTTTAGTGCCAATCTTGCTTTCCAAAATACTCCAGACACAATAGTCCAACGGATTGGTATATGGAGATTTTGGTGGCCTTTGTGCGCTGGAAATGAAGCGAGGAACCTTATTTTGTAACCATTCTTGGGTGGCGCGTGTTGAGTGCAATGGTGCTGAGTCCTGTTGGAATGTCCAAGGTCTGCGCCCAAAATGTTTGCGTGCCTAAGGCTTTGATACACCCTCCAGAATTTTTCGCGATAATATTCGGCATTTATTATGATGCCACAATCGACTAATACGAGCGGAGAGCGACCTTCAGCTGTTATGGCGGCCCACACCATCACCATGGCCGGCGCTTGAGTTCTTGTGGCCAACGAAAGATGCACGTTTTCTGCTGACCTCTTTGGCAAGTAAACAAGATCATTTTGTTTGTTTACAAACTGCGGGACAAGGAATGCTTTCTCATCGGAGAAAACTAGATTCGGCAGTTAACCACATTCGGCAAAGAGAAGAAACTCTTTTGAGTCTATTTTCCTTCTGTTGCGGTATAAGTTCTTGCACTTTTTGGAATTTTAATGGCTTTACCCCAAGCTTTTTTTTCAAGATTTGCCGAATGGAAAATTGCGATATGTTAAGCTCACGAGCCATTTTTCGGCCACTGCGGCGCGGGTTTCGATCAAGTCGCTTCTTTACTTTTCGAACCATTTCTGCTGATGTTGCTGTTTTCTTCCGTCCATTTCCTTCACGTCGGGCTACGCTACCAATATCACGGTAACGAGCGATGGGACGAGACAAAAAAGATTTATTCACATTTAAATGCTGAAGTGCCACTTGCGGTTTTCCAGCTAAATATAAAGAAATCAAACTCTCACGCTTGAATTCCATCACGAATAACCTTTTTTCTGGAAAATTCTCACAAAAATGCTTTTGTACGCTTGTAAACAAAATATTGAGCTGGCACTGGAATAATTTTAACAGCTGTCGGACGAAAGGCTTAGAAATGACAACAGTCTGAAGTTGGTTGTTGTTTTTTCATATCACCGTGTATAGATCGGTAGTATACATCTTCACCTTAAACCTTAGGGTATAAAAAATATAGATGGGACAGCGAATGAGGTTAAAAATGATAAAAATCGTATGGGAGATGTTATGTATTTTGCTTTAAAAAAACAATAGAACTAAAATTTCCACCGCGGGTACCAATAAGTTCAAAGAACGAAAAATGTTGGTATAGGGCTTGTGAAATGAAATGGACCAAACAAACTGATTACAAATTTTCCGAAAGGCATTTTAAAATCTATGAAATCAGTGGACAACAGTAACTTGGGCGATGTGATCAAAAAAGCACTGGATAATTTTTTTTTTTGTCATATGAATGGGTAATTTGTTTGAATATCTTTTTAAGGAAATTCGATTCCAAAAATAATATTTTTTATGTGGGCCTATTCCGAAAACTGGTCATATTTAATAGAAATTTTGCGAGGAGTTTTTCAACCATCAAGATTTCAATTTGGAAAATTACTGTCATAACATAAGAAACTTATGTTCTCTAAAAATAAGTAGCCTCAATTAAAAAACATAGAATAAGGAGGAGGAAATAAAAGCAATTAATATTATTATTTTTGTTTTATTATAAGCTTGGCTTTGCAATTAGCTATTTAAATATTTATTTTTTCCATTCGTTGAAAAAAATCCTACACTCCAACCTACGTACTAGTCACAAATTATTTACCCACGAGGGGCTGCTTGTTCGTTTTCCCGTTTTCACTTCATTTTCCATCAATTGATGTGCCGTACTTAAAGCGCATCGAACATTTAGTCGGCAAATAACCTTGAAATGAAATGCATCCATATCACATTTATCCCTTCCCCTTATTTGGTGATGGAGAAACCTCATCAATGCAGATATTAACTACATACATAGTTACTTTAGTCAGGCAGTCAGGCAGTGAGTCAGTCACAGCAATAGAACTTTTTTTTAGAACATTTAATTTTACGTATTTTTAATGTTCAGCCGGATGTTAAGAGAATTTCTTCTTTTACATACTCTGATGAAGATGCCATTCTTCTTCTGCTGCTGGCTGGCTGGCAATGGCGGCGTTGACAACGATAACTAGGAAATAAACGTTTTCGTTGCTGCTGCTGTTCTTGTTGTTGTTGTTGTTGTCATCATCAGGAGATTTGCTGTTGTTATTATTGCAGTTGCAGTTCATTTACAGCTTACACTAAGTCTCTTACTCTATATAAAAGTACTTTGTAGCTCAATGATGATGATGATGACGATGACGATGGCAATGAGTATTTTGCGATGACGACAATGATGATGACTCTGTTGA